ATTCTTAAATTTTTATTAGTAGAAAAGTTAGAAATAGTAGAAATAATTTTCTTAAAAATGTATAAATATAGGTGGGATTCGTTAGGAATTCCGCAGTCAGTTTTTGACTCAAATTTAATAAAACAAATATTAATTATTAAAAGTTATCTTGAATATGCTTATTGTACGCTTGAGAATTAATTAATATTATATTATTAAGTCCAGAAAAGTAAAGAAAAGGAAGTTATTCTCGTTTCATTGTATGAAATAAGAAGTTAGAAGAACTCTCGCAGTTTATAATAAATAAAGTGGTAATATTTGAAAGAATAAATATTACATAAAGAATAATATTTTGGGAATATTATGAATGAGTGGTAGTATTTGAAAAAATAAATATTACGAATATATGAGAAAGAAAGCGAGAAGTTAAGAGAAAAACAAAATCTAAACCAAGCGAAATAATGAGAAGTAAAGTTGTAATGTAAAAGATGTGTTTATCCACGGGTGGCAGACGTGGGTGACAACGTTCCCTTAAGTAAAAATAAAAAAAAACAAAAAAAAAACGAACTTACCATAGTTCGTTCTTTTTTTAAATCCTGGTCGTTCAGCTTCATCTCACATCCAGGTTTTCTAAAAAAAAGAAAGGGAACGTTAATTATGTTTCCTTAAGTAAAAAAAAATAAAATAAAATAAAATAAACGAACTTACTATAGTTCGTTCTCTTAAATCCTGGTTGTTCCTTCATCTCACGTCCAGGTTTCCTAAAAAAAAAAGAAAGGGAACGTTAATTACGTTCCTTTAAGTAAAAAAAATAAAATAAAAATAAAAGAAACGAACTTACCTAGTTCGTTCTTTTAAATATTGGTCGTCCAGCTTCGTCCGTTCATCCAGAAAAAGTTTTTTAAAAAAAAAAATTTTTTTTTTTTTTTATTTAAAAAAAAATCTGATCTGAATCTGTTCAGATCGGATCAGATTTTCTTGTGTTATGATCTGATCCGATCTGATCTATAGATCAGAATTTTGAAAACCGAACCGGATCTGACTCGGATCAAATCTGTGGATCTAGATCAGATCAGATTTTTTTTGGAGCACTACATATAGATAGCCAGGAAATTACTAATTTTAGTTTAAAATAGTTAAAATAGTTAATATTTAATGAGTGACATACTCCAGGGAATTAATTACTCATTTATTTTCTGGAAAGGAAAACAATAGGGTTTTTTTCCCTTCAGGAAAAAACCCCTATTATTTCCAAATAAATAATACAAATTATTAAAATTATCTTGATAATTAAAATTTAAATTTCATTAGTAGTGAAATTAAAGAAATTTAATAATAAAACTTTTTTTATAAAGATTTTTTTATATATATAAATCATAAATAAGTTGTTTAATAATTAATAGTACAATAATTTTATAGCAAATCTTTTAATCATCTTCTATAAACTGTAAGTATTTAAGAAAACCTATTCTATATATAATTTATATATACAGGAAAATGGTGTACATATAAGGTCTTTTAGATAACTAATGGATGATTTATAATTACAAATAATTTGCTTATTGATTATAGTAGAAAATTTGATTTTAATGTAATCTTTATATATATTATTTAAGATTCTCATAAATTATATTATTTGATTTATATATATATTATTTGCAGCTTATTTAATTTAAAAAATTAATATTTGAAGATATATAAAATAAAAAAAAATTTAAAATAAGATTTAATATATATTACTTATTTTCTTAAATTAAATTTTAATTGGTTATAAAATAATAACCATAAATGTAAATGTATAACTACCACTTTTGTTCTTAAAATTCATGATTTTGTACTATTATTATTTTGATTTAATGTCAGTTATCAGTTTATACTGAATTAATATTCTTAGAAAGTAATTTGTTAATTACTGATCTGCTGATCAATAGAACCACCTGATCATAATTTAATATAAAATCGTCGTGCTAATAAATAATAATAAAATGCGCATTTTGCCTCAATCTTCAAAACCAATTCCTTATGTCTACTCAAAAACATAAAAGACAACTGGTAATATTGTTCAGAAACTTCATTATGGTCATTTTGCTATAAATTGGTGGTTCTTTATTGGAATAAAAACAAAAACAGCTCAAACAAAACAGACGTATTCCTATACGCGTTAATGAGATTAAAATTTGAACTTAACCAAATAGAATTTATTATTCGAGTATTTGATAATAATTAGAAGCCTGGTTATATATGTGAATTAGATAAGAAAGCTATAGTTTACTCGACACCAAGTGCTGAAATAAATGAAATGTTAAGACGCGTTTTTCTGGACCAGATGTTTTAGGTTCTGATAATGAAATAATAATTGAACAATTACAAGCATAAGTTTTGATTTTTCCATTGCAAATTATTACCAATGGTATTACAGTTTTTGTGGCAACATTGGGTAGTTCAGATCAAGCAGAATGGTTCTGGTTATCGCTCATCTTTTTATCATAAGTATCATGGACAACACTCTTTAATATGTCAATCAATAATGAACAATGAATATAAATTAGATATATACTGTATTAACAAGAAAAAAAAATTGACACTTACATTGGAAAATCTCCCACTGATATTTGAAAAAATTTGACGGCAAAGAATTATTTGGCTTATGTCAACTTGTTATAAAAGCCACATGAATACGCCATATTGCAAATCATGTGACTGGAATAATATTCAAATAATAACGCATGCTTTTGAAAGAAAAAAAAATATCAGTTGTTAATATAAACTGGTATCAATTTTTTCGTTAAATGGAAACAGCAACTAACAACTATTATTAAATTTACCTCACATCTTGCTTCTATATATCCAGCAGATTGTGAAATTACTGACATTATATTAGGGGCATGGAGAACAATGATGGATGTACTGATATAACACCTTATAAAAAAAAGAATCATCCCATGAGTAGTTGAATTGCTAAAGCATTTTTTGAATATGATGATACAAACAAACAATTTACCCAATATAATAGCTTGAATTTTGGACATGTGTAGAGGATTCAAGAAGTGATAGAGCTTTGATACTTGACTTGTATACAAAAAATCTTCTCCATATGATCCATCAAAGGCAGAAATATTGGAAAAGAATCATGAACTCCAAAATAAGTTGATCAATTTTGGAAATGAACAATCGTGACTTGGATGGTAAACAAAGGATATTATCAGTAATTGCTAATAATTTTTCGCGTCAAGATATAAAAAAGAATTTGAATGTAGGTTTAAAAGAATAATAATTGTTTGTAATTAATTTTTTTTTGCTAAAATATACCAAATTTTTTAGATTTCAAATGATTTGATGGATGCAGCAGGGAAATATTCACGATCTAATGGACCTGGTTGTATTGCTATAAGCAAACCAATAGTAACTCAGAGTCGGATATCAGAAGTAAAAGATTACGAGTTTGAAGCTTTTTTTGCGGATAAAGACAATGTTTCTATGAGCTCCTATAAAGTTGGTTCAAAAACTAATCTTCCAATTTGTATTTGAAAGACAATAAAGAGGCACTTTGGAAAAAATTTGAGGCAACTTACACAGATGGAATTAAACGGACATCATTTATGGCACGATTAGCAAATGGACAATATATCTATTGAAATGATATAGGTGGTCTATGTAGTATTTGTAACGAATACTTCTATGAAGTTTTTGATACCTAGTCTAATCTGATTAAAAATTTTTCTATTATTACAAAATAAGTTAAATTATGGAATTGGAAAAATTACGTAGAAGAGGTTTTGAAGAAGAACTAACTATGAATGGGATGGTACAACAATTCACATGAACACAATTAATCATTGTTTACTGGGAAATGCCACGAAAAACATACTAATCGATGTACTGCATGTGATCAGCTATTTGTACTCTTCCAATATCTTATGATACATCTTGAAGAACACCATTCAACAATCGAAGAATGCAGGGATAAACTATATTATTTTTTGGCACACCAAGCGAGAAAAGTATATTTAAATAGTCAGTTTAAAGCTAGACTAGCAAAGTTAGACAGTAATGGTGCAATTTTGGTATGTGATTATAAAATGCGTATACCTAAGAGCGCAAGAGAAACTGAAGATCAATTTTTTGGAAAACGTGGGTGGACCTTGCACACAATTTTGGTGTTAACAAAATATAGCTGATCAACTTAACGTTCAAGTATTCGATCATTGGAGTATAGACACAAAACAGGAACCTTGGTTTACTATTTCATCATTTGATTCTGTTTTTGAAACTCTTAACCCTAGACCACAATGGATTGTAGTAGTATCAGATAACGGTGCTCATTACCATAACTCTGAATTAATTGCCGCTGTTGCTAACTGGTACCAATGGTACAATATTGAAATTCGTGGCTGGTATTTCCTTGAGTCGGGAGAAGCCAAAACAAGCGTTGATTCTCATCACGCACAGTTAAGCTTTCTAAGTAATTTTTCTAAACTATAAAACAATAATTAATTCATTGCTAGATTGCACATGCCACAAAAAGATATATTCGTATTGGACATAATTTAGACGAAGGAGAAAAGATACAAACTGCAATAGCTGATTTAGGAGGAACTTCGGTTGCAAATCTAGAACCTATACGTGATGATCATAATGTTAAAACAATTGCTGGTATTACTAAATTGTTTTACAAATAGCGTAAATTCCCTATGAGCTTTGCTCAGAATATCAAATGACAACAACTGAAGAAATAAACAAAATCAGGACGGGACTTTGACCGGCAGGCGTGACTGGTATCTATTCCCTGCCCAATTGATGGTGATTACGCTGGATATATACGAGCTCAATGCTTGCCACATATTGGATCATGGTCTCAGGTTTCACCATTTGAAATATCAAAATTAACTACAGCACCCATAAATAAGCCAAGGTCCAACGTCACACCTCACTCAATTCCAAAAAACCCATGGAACTTTTCACTATCTCACGTTCAAAGTAATTATTTATTATAATGAAAATGATATTTTTTTTCTGATTTTTTTTCTATATTTACAACTGGTAGATACAAATAAACAAGAAAAAAGTAATAATCAAGCTTATTCATTATTAGGCAAGATAATAATTTCTTCATTTTTCTTATACATTAGTTAAAATTTGTTGGTAATTATTTCTAGTAATTTTTTATTTAGCTATTGGAGAAACGTTTGAATTGAAAAGAAGGCGTTAAAACGTAATCAGAAATATGGTAAAAGAGGAGTAGGAAAACGAATGACAAAAACAGTGAAATCTTACCTTGAGAGCTACTTTTTAGCGGGTAATATGAACAGAATAGATCGTATGTCAGCAAAGGATATGGTAGAGTAACTTGCTAGCGAAGGCGAAATTCAGGCTGAAAACGTTCCTGAAATAACACCAGTTGCAAGTTGGATCACACAAAATGCAGCAAGTTTGAAAAAACAATCAGCAATAGAAAAAATAGCAGAAGGAAGCAGTACCGCTAGAAATATCCATAATTTTCAAGAAATAGCGAAATCTAGTATTCGTGATGTAAATATTAATAGCGAGCAGGTATAAACAAAACGGCAGAGAAAAACGTAATTTTAGGAAATAATGTTGGCTAGTGTTCAAAAATTTTGTGTTTATATATATATATACAACCACCCAAATCTCTAGTCCAGTATAGGAAAGTTCTTGACGAAAGTTTTTTTTTTATTTTTTTCAAATAAAAATTCATTGTTTGGTTCTTGTACCCTTGTACGTTTCTCTGTTTTACCTGGGCACCATATTATTTCATAAAAGCTATTGAGCGGCGGGTTGAATATGCTTTTCCTAATAAATATCTGGGGAATTAATTTTGATATTGGACTCGTGTTATGCAATTTCTTGCTTTTCAAGAACTCACTTTGTCTTGCGCGTTATATAACATAAACATCCTGACATTTTGTACATTTTGCAAGATGCGTTTCTGTTTCATTTGTTAATTGCATGCTAAACATTTTAAATCGCCGTAAATTTTATAGTGTCTTTCTTCATCTGTTCTAGGTAGGAAGTGTAAGCGCAATAGATTAATATATCTTCAATATATTCTTAAGGAGGTGCATTTCAACCCTGTGTTTGCTTCTAAGATACATTCAGCTCATATATATCTAGATCCGGATGGAAGAAATTCCTGTCATTTGTGGTGAATTTCCATTTCCCCAAAAGTATGCAATTTTGTCTTTGTTAGGAAAATACCCCTGTCATGTGGTTGATTCTCTTGACTAACCTATCCGGCCCACAATTCCTACTATGACCTTTCACCTTTATTAAATCTACACTATCTATTAAATCTAATAATATGATTTTACCAAGTTTCGATGATCAAAATAAAATTAAACACCTCTTCATTAACCGACCGGTACTTATTTTGGTCAACAGTGTACTATGTAGAAATGTTTTGCATTATATGTGTTCTTGTGTCAATAATATCACCATTATGCGATTAATTCTTAATTAACGCTTTGATTTTTTTGGTAATTCCTGAATGCTTCTCATGTTTTTTATGTAAATTTTCACCAACATAGATAACGACAAGTTTTAAAAAAAATTTACATGACCAATGTTCAACCAACCTTGTCACTTATTTACATCGTGAATTAGCCAATATCTTATTAATCAACTTATTCCAGTTATATGTATTGTCCGAATTTTTCTTTTTAATCATGGATTATTCTAATACGACGTGGCAAAATTAAAACCAATCATACATTGACCTATAGCGTTGAATATTCATTCTTTTGCTTCTATCCGCTGTTGTTAGCCAATTTGTTTAGCTTGAAGCAAAATTATGCTATCATACTCTTGTTCAGGGCTTTTTGAATCTCCTTTTATAGTCAGTTCACCATTTTCGTTAATAAGTAAAGTTGTCTCAGCTGAGAGTTTGTCTCATAATCATATTCGAGGTTCTTGTAAGCTTGTTAAATGAAGAAGATCCTTATGATTGATGTAAAGTATTTGAAGCTGCTTTTGCAGCCAATGACAATAGAAAGGTTGCTCTAGCTGTTGAATTTCTTAGAGATGCTGCCAGAGACTGGTACGAAGCAATGCTGTAAGCTAATCTAGATCAAATTAAGCTGAGCTTTCCTTAACGATGGCACTTGTGTATTCAGAAGGATAAAAAATTTAGGTATCTGAGCTACTCATTGATTGCTTCGAGGTAGCTTCACTTCACTCCTAAAATTACTGGACGTTTTGCATATCACGGCTTTGGATTTTTATTATTGCAAAAATTGATGGAATAAGGTTTCGTAACGTTGTGTAGGTCTCAAAATACGGTATATATACGCGTTATTTGTTCTCTTTTTCACTTTCTCTTTTCTAATGATTTTGTTGGTATTCTCAAGTTCTTTTTTATAAGTTGGTATCCTTTTTCGCTTTAAACCAAACACTTAGGATTCTCATAGCTTCGTGTTTAAGATTTTCACTTCGGTTCTGATCTACTCATTACATACTATTGGTTGTATCCTAATTATAATTTCAATCTTAAGTTTCTGTATAATTGAACAAAGAACCCATCTTAAAAAGAATTATCTGTAATTAAACATATTCATCAATTCTTTGAAAATTCTTTGTGTCCGGGTTTGTTTTTTTTAGTCAAAACATAGCTTATACCCAAATTTCTGACTCCAACACTCATAGCACTCATTACATTCCTCCTCTGATAGAACTTCGTTTAGCAATTCACCATAATACTTAACCTTGGTGAATAAATTCTGCCTATTCTTCTGGTATTTGATTAAATTCATGGTTTAGTTCAAAAAATGTTAGTGAAACCTTAACTATTCCCAGTTAATATCATCTGGCTCGATTAAAAGAATCCCTTTCTTCGTTGTTAGCAATTCTTGAAAGATCCACCATTAGCTGAAATTAACGTTCTTCTCTGATCGCTTACAAAGTTTCAATTCTTGCTTGATTATGGTGTCCCGTCGAATTCTGATCGAATAAAGGATCTTTTCCCGTGAACTTGTCTTTTCGTGTAATAAAGTGCTTTATTGTTTTGTCCCGTAACTAAACATCTTTTATCCACAGGTGTGTTGCATCAGTGATATTGTGATAACAATGTTTTTTGATAATCTTAAAGAATAACAAATCTCCTCGTTTTTGTTTCTCGAACGCGCTTCTTGCATTTTTAATTTCTTTTTTGGTACGTTGCTGATGGATGAATGTCACGAGTAAAATGTCTATTGAGCTCATTTAAAGATCGTGTGTATCAAAAATCTCTTTTATCTATCATAGACATTCTCTTGTGCATCATTACTTTATATTTATCCTACAATATATTTATCTTTTGCATCACGAGTAATTGAGTGTACACGTGAATCCTATATTTGGACCATCGCACGTTTTTCTCAACTCTTATTGTTTTTTTCCTAAAGGTACAAACAAGATGGTGAGATTTTATGAATTGATGATCTTTGATGGGACGTTTGACTAACTTACAAAGTGCTACATGGTCTAAACTAGCTATGATTCACGATAGAATTAAATCTTCGCTGTGTATTCGTCATTATTCCAATTAATTCGCCTTTTTAACCTTACAGTAATCATAAACATCATCCCTTAGATATCATTTAAGTTATGCATTAAATTTCTTAAAAGAGCAATCAACGTTACTATTATTTAAATCTGATCATTCTTACTTGGAATATAAAAGGCTTGATCGCTTCCTGACCCTCTGCTCTAATTTCCGCCGGGCTTTTCATAAAACTTTTTCTCCTTTTTCGTTTATAATATTGAGAAGGTCATTTTAAACGTTCAAATAAAGTCACTATCTAAGAGTTAGATCACAGTCTTTCTTTTTATCGGCTTACAACTTGTTTCTTGCATCTTCAGTTTGTGTTGTTTCTCTTGTAATGTGATTTTTTACTTCCCACATATATTCTTTGTATTATTATAAACTTATGTAAGAACATCTTCTAAATACTTATTTCGAAGAGACTTTATTGGAATAGACATACATTCTTATTCTTGTATTTTCATGGTTTGCTTTTGTAATTATGTATGCATTTTTTGCCAGCACCTGAGAATTCAACAAATGCTATGTTATTTCTACATGTTTTCCATTTATAAGTTGTGTTTCTTCTAAAATCCTGACTGCTGTAGCGTATTCGACCAGATTTATAAACTTTGCTATATATTTCGGTTTTTCGGGAGAACCCCGCCGATACGTTTATTGATTTGGAAAGGTCTAAATCTTTAAATATTTTATATTTCTTCGCAGATTGTATACTGTGTTGTCTGATGTTCATATAAGTTCTTCTCCATTATTCGGAACAGCAATTAACTTGAATTTTCTATTAGGAGAGAGAGATACTTTATCTTCATTTATTTTATCTAGAATTTGATGTGATGTTCGTGCAACTTCCAATGATCATGATCATATGATAATGAATTGATGTCCTTCCCCTGAAAACGTGCATTTTTGGTTTTCTTTTTTCCTTTAATATATACTGTACATGCAGGAGAATCCCCATCTTTTTTGTTTCATTCCTAGTGGATGTATGAACTCATTTATTGTATGATATTGTTCTTTTTCCTTTTAGATCATGTTGTTTTGTTGGATTTCATATTTACATGATTAGTTTTTGAAGAAATTACATTGCATCTCATTTCTTTTCGAGATGTTATGAGATAAAAATTATTCGCGATTTTACCGTACTGAAAGACACACAAATTTACTCAAACAAAATTCTGTTAAAGAAAGTACGATTTTATAGTGTATATAAAATTTGAATTTGTGGATAGTCCGTGAAAGCTATATAATTTATAAAAATTAGAAGGAAAAAATACGAATATAACGAAATTTCAATAAAATATTATTACGTATTTATTATAATAATAAAAAAATAAATGGAAATGATATAAACCAACGAGATTCTTAAATAAGTAATTAATAGTAGGTGTTGGATTAATTTTTTTTTGAAATAAATGCTACTAAGTAATTTGTTAAACATTCTATTACAAGAAATTTTATTCAAAGAAATAATTTCGTATAATATTAGACAAAATCGGGGTATCGTAAAAATGCGCTTGGAAAAAAAAAATATCTAATAACAGATAATACATGAATACAAACTATCGTTCATTCATTACATCCCTTTTCTATCAACCTTTTTTGTCGATCTGTAAACGATATGGGTTACATATTTAACTAAACAAGTCATAAAATGAATGTAGCACTAGTTTCTTTGTTAAATTACTTTATTAATATAAATTATAATTGTACAGGGCTATCATTTGTTACATTTTTGGCTTATCGTAAGAATATTCATTATTAACTACCTAATAGGGGAAATATACAAAGAATTATTAAATAAATAATATTTAATAAATAACAAATTAAATTCAATTAAAATAAAAAAAAAATATATATATATAGGTGTTCCCTTCTGCACCAGAGAAAATTAAAAAAAAAGCAATTGATTTTGCTAATTTCGTTCGCCCCTTTTACCAGATCAATTTCTACCAAGAATTTCATCGACACTGATGTTTATATTTTTTAATAGTGATTTAATCGTAAATTATTTTTGTGCCTCAATGCACATTGTGGTGGAGAATAATTATATTCACGTTCTGATAGTATGAATGAAACACATTCCCACAAACCGGTCTTAATGTTGCCGTGATTTGTTTTTAACTTATTTATATATTCATCATATTCCCCCACGATCGAATTAAAGGCATTAGAAGTTTCCTCATCCCAATTGCACCTAATCCCTATAGATTAAATATATTTATTGTGAGCGACTCGTTGATGATTTATTTCGATAATAATGGATACAGTACTCACCCCCATGATGATGATAGTTAGACTTCTTGTAAGTTGGATGCTTAATTATACCACTAATATCGGCAAACAATTTGGGTCCTACATCGTTATTCATTAAACATCGATCAACAATTTCGGGAGTAACTTTGTATGAGAAAAAAGTAACGAAGGGAAGAAAAAATATTATTAATATTATTATTAATTATTTTTTTTATAAAATGCTGAAAGAACTGTAACTATACTTAGAATCTGATCACAGAAGAATGATCATACAACTTTTTAAAAACAAATAATGAATTAAACCAGGATATTAACCTTTATGACCATCAACTACTTTTTTAACATAAAAATTTAGTATCTTTTGAATTATTATTTGTTTTCGGTTATCTAGTAGTTTATGCAGATGCTGAACTTTATGAAGTTGAAGCTCCCGGGTCCGTCTTAGCTGAATTCCAGTCTCATCTAAAAAAAAAAAAGGAAAGATAAAATATCAAACTTTAGAATGTTATTCATCATATTTTATTTATCGCAAGTGGATCGCGTCAACAAAATGAAAAACGGCGACATAACTCTTTCTAAAATAACATAAATGAAGTGAGATATTAGAAATCGGCATTACCTGGACTTTGTTGAACCAAACTTAGATGAATTTGAATTTGCTGAATAAGTTGTTGACTTAACAAGATTGTACTTTTAAGCTGACGAATTTGATGATCGAAACTACTTCGCTCAATGGTACAAAAATGTTGAAATTGAAGTTGCAGATCATTTATCCGAATTTCAATTTCATCAACTCCGTCTAAAATAAAAAGAAAAAAGACAAAATATCACATTTTATTTATCACGTTTCAATTTATAAAGGGTTGCGTCGTCAGTGATTAAGGGGATGGCCAGAAATGACGTAATTTAAATTTTAGGATTTTTGACCCCCCTCCCTATGTCATCATTCATTTTAGGAAATGTAAGATTAAAACATAATTCTGGCTAGAATTATATTAACTACAAGTGTCTAAAAATAGAAGGTGTGTAACATCATCGTCTTAACCCCCTCCCCCTTAGGAAATGACGTCATTTCTGGCCATCCCCTAACTAGAAAACCAACATAAATTAAAAGAGATATTTACCTTCATGGGCACTAAAGTAACTTCGAAGAATGAGTTCCTGATTTTGCTGAATATTTGGAAAAATTTCATCTACAGCTTCATCTAATATAGAGGGGAAAAAAACAATATATACAGTATTTCATTTGTGAAAATAACGATATAACTTTTTAAAAGCAACGTATATTCACCTTGTGAACCAGCATAATTTTGAATAGCTTGCGTATAATATTGTATGGTCCCTTGGACCCATTCATCAGCATTGTCCACCATGTTAGATAGAAACAAAAATAAAATGCAAAAAGGAAAAAAAGTCTTTCAAATCACCGAAATCACCGTCATAATATATGTTTTCTTGGTCTAATCCAACTGATAAAAATGTTGAACAGCTTGTTAAAAATGTGATGAAATATAATATTTATCCGGCTTAATCCAATTCAAATTAACAGATAAATAAATAAATAGAAACGAATTGGATTTGATTGCATGATCATCCGCATTTGAGCACTATTATCTACAAAAGTTATTACTAAAAAGCAAAAATAAAAAACAAAAAATAAAAAAGTCCTTCCAATCATTGTATGGTATATTTTTTCTTAATCTAATCCAATAGATAAAAATGTTGAAGGAATAATGAGAATTCTAAAGTCCTTGTTAAAATAAATTTAATTTTATCCGACATATAAATCGGAGATGAATTGGATTGCATGATCGACATAACACAATAAATTGGATTTTATTTACAAATCAGGTTAAAAATATGATAAAGTTCTCGAAAAATTTGAATCAAATTAAAGTAACGAAAAGCTAGCATTCATTCAAAGCATCTTCAGCAGCAATTATTTACTCCGATTAAGACGACATTACCATATTGAAAAAGAAAATTTTGTATTTGATAAATTATTACTGCGTTAAACAAATATCAGCATCAGGTTACACATTCATTTAACTGTGTAAACACATACAGTTACGAGTTAAATGCCAATTCAGAAACTAATTTAGCAATGTCACAAGCAGCTATTTATAATTACGTTGATTCAATAAAACAATTTTATATATTATAAATAAACTATAAAATAAATTTCCCCGTAAAAGAATATTCTATTGAAAGAGCGTAAATCTAATACAAAATGGTATCTTTGAACCTGAAATGTCAGAAAATTTTTTGACGGAAATATCCAAATTGTCTCTGTACGGGTGGCAGATATATAGAGTCGGCTGCTTACAACTATTTCGGAACGAAATTTTTTATGATAATAAAAAGCGACTGAAAATAACTAAAAAAACATGACTTGTTTTCATTTTTATTATTTTAATTTTTGTGACTAAGTGTGATCACATCATAAGTCAACAAACATTTTTTGATTTTTTGTAATAATTTCTATTTACAATAAACACTATATTGTTATATGTAAACTATTCATTTAATTGTGACGCAAATAAATGAATGAATGTGATCGCCAAAATACGCAAAACTGAAAAAAATCAGCAATATATATTATCTTACTTAATTATTAAAAGAATTAATTTGACAATCCAGATTTCTTGAAATTAATAATCTAATAACAGAGATCTTGGAACCTATAAATTTAAAAAATTTTGAAATCGTTTTAATATTTCCATATAAATTACAAGCTTGTGGATATTAATTAAATATGCGGCTTGTCGATCATTTGTTTTTCCCTATGATTTATTAGTAAAGATTCGTCACATGTAAACTTTAATTTTTATCCTTTGTCTTTGTTCGAACTAAATGAAGATGGGCTAATTTATGTAGTACAAATTTTTAATTGGTGATTGGAGCTGCGCCGTGACTGATATCTGATATTTACATGTTTTTCCCACATTTATTTATTGATAATACTTTATGATAGTATTTACCTATGATTTTCTTTATTTTAATATCAGATATGAAAATTTTAATTAATTAATGCACAACTGATGATTTAGTTCGTAATTTACAGATAATATCTCTTTAACCATATTCGTTTCATAGACAATTCTTTATCATCTTATAATCTATCTTTGCATTGAAATTTTTATTTTTTCCACAAGTAATTATGTTTTATAAAATTTTCTTGATTTATTTATCGGATTAGATTAACAAATTTCAAACAACGTAATTATAATGGGTTGGCATAGCTAAATACAACATATTAAAATTCTGTGTTCCGTTTATTATAAAATATATGTGCTAGTGTTACTGTCAAAATTTTAATTATATGAAAAATATAAAATTCAGATCGTCATTTTTTTTTTTAAAAAAAAAAAGGGAATGACAATAATGTAGATCATGATAAAAATGGTTACCTTGATAAACAAACAATATATATACAGTATATTAGCAATCCAATCTAATAAATTTTGATAATTTTGGCACGGAAAATATTTATTTAGGATACGTTTTCATGGGACGATCTTTTTATAACTTGTTTCAGATACCTGAAAGTCAAAAAAAAAAAAAAAAAATCTCAATGATCGAAGCAATAAATGTTGTCCTTGATAATGATTTAAATTAATCTATTAGGTTTCCTTCAATCTGATTTCGATTCGAAATTTTCTAAAATCGAAGAGAAAACATTTGAATTTATCATATGATTTTGATTAAATTATGTCATCGAATATATAGAATATAATAACAATGATAACAATGTATTTTTTTAGAGATTGAATTGTAAATTATTATTTGGAATTATATTAATAACTATGATATCAGGAATCTCTGTGTGTGGGACTGCCATGAAGGAGATCTCTTGCTCCTCGAAAAAATCACGTACAACTGCCCACTTCGGTTCATTGAGGTATCTGCAAATAAGAATTACTGCGTCACATAACACATACCTTCCCCATCCTCCTTAAAAAATTATATTAATAATATTACTATTTTTATTTTAATATTTTAAACCAACCAAAAATCATTAATTTGTGTCGCATATGATGTTCGACGATCGTTCTGAAGTCAAATCCAATAGATTAGATTTGGCTTGGATCATCGTTTAAAATAAAGTTCATTTGCATTTTTGACAAGAAAAATTTTTTTATTTTTTTTATTCATCATTTTTGTCAACTGGATTAGATTAAAAAAATAGTTCTGACAATGTTTTCACTTATTAATGTGGAGTTGTTACTCTTTTTATTTTTATTTTTTAATTTTCATTATTATTTCTTCTCTATCATCTTTTTCTTTTTTTCTCATCTTTTTTATTTTTAAAAAAAAAAACTAGTATCTAATATTCTAATCATGGATTTCAATTATTCTTATTCTACATTTTTCGAAAACAAAATAGAAGAAAATAAAATAACTCGCGATACTTTCGAAAATCAAGGTGACACCCAAAGGGAAGAACTTCAACACAGGACTTCTGGCACAACTTACGTTTCTTCGGAGATTCAAAGAAACATCCAAAGTGATGACTTAGAAGAAGAAATCCAACAATGCAAAATTTCGCTTGATAGTATAATTCAAAAAGGTCCTATTGATACAGTAATTCGATCTATAGTAAATTTCTATGCTGAAAAGTTACGAAATAATAAAGGTTAATTTTTTTTTTTACCTGTATTGCACTCAGAAACTTGTATCACTAATATTTTCCATAAAAACATAAGTGTCTTAGTCACTAAAATTACTTTTCTCATACAAAAATAGTCACCTACAATATTGTTGAGAAATGCTTAACGGAATATCGCAAAAATGCAAATACATATAAACCAAAAGAACCTGAATTATTCATTGAAATTAGTAAGTCAATTGGACATAAAAAATATTGTAAGACTTACTATAAAAATAATGATGATGGTAGGTAATCTTTTTATCATGTTTAACACTTTAATACTTTAACGTCATAAATCTTCACTCACGATATATAATTATATACGTATTTATATACTATGAAAGGAAAAAAATGTGACTGGGATAAAAAAGCTAACGATAATTTCAAATTAATCATTGGAAAATATGAAAGTTATACAAATAAATTAAAATCAAACCGTGGTAATATTAAAACTGGATTTTGGGAATATGTATGTTTTATTTTGTCAAAGCATGGGCATAATAATTATACTCCGACACAATGCGCAGTGAAGTACAAGAATTGTAAAGCTAAAAAAAAGTAATTTAACGTTATATCCTTTTTCTTGAGATAAAATTATAAATTATTGTTTTATTGTTTTACTTTTAATTTTTTTTTTAAAAAAAAGCCTTGATGTGGGAGGGATTTTATACTTTTTTTTTGTCTTATTTTATTTTATTTTATTTATTACATATTCACTTAAAAATAAAATATTTTAACGTTCTTTATTAAGTAAATAAATAATGATGAGCAAAAATGGTAAATTTTCATTCAAAAATTGCAACGCATGATGATCTTCCGTTGTAAAAAAAAAATTTCATTCTTCTATTTCTATATTGACAATAATTCAATGTCTTTCAATCATAATTTGCATTAATAAAGTAATTAATAAGGAGTAGGACTAACATGTTTTGTTTATTAAATATTTAAAACATGGGGCAAATATCCAAATGAAATCTGGTCATATTTATATTTTTAAAATACTGTATCTGGAGAATTTAACACTAATACATATACCGTATTTTTCTGTTAGTAAGCACCCCCGAAAATAAGAGCCCATGGCCAGAATTATGGCTATTTTGGCCAGAATTATGAGGATCTTGGCGCCGGCATTAAGTGCAAAAAGGGTGCTTATTACAAGTTCTTATATAATTTATACAACCTACTAAGGAATACATTTTAACTCCATTAGTAGCTCATAATCCAGTGATTTTTGATTAGTAAGAATACATTTAAAAATAAGAATAATAAGTTACAAAACATATATCATAAATAGAAAATTTCCCAAATTGTCATCGCGCTGACACCTGACAACATCCCAAAAAAATTTGACCTCGAAAACCTTAGAACGGAAGTTTAAATATACTAAGAAGTAAGAAACAAATATGAAAGACCGTCAGTAATTAAGGATTTCTGTACTTCATATATTTATTGTAGATTATCAAATTTTTTAATGCGTCAAATTCTAACAAAATAAATATTTTTTTTTAATTTCAAATAATAATTCTCGTTTGCTAACTTTGGGGACTTCTAATCAAATGCTTTACTGTCATTACATTATGCAAGAGGAAATACACTTCCGGTTTGCAATTAATGAACATTTCTATGATTTGATGTACGATAAGCTTAATCGAAATTGTTCATTTCAGCGCCAAAATTTATCAACTGCCTCACTGGACATTTCCAGCGCAGCACCAATCACTAATTAAAAATTTTGTACTACATAAATTAGCCTATCTTCATTTGGTTTAGGACAAGTGGACAACGTGGACAACGACTCTCAAAATAATTATAAGTTTTTTAAATACATTAAAAGTAATACGTATGAACTTTCAAATGGCACTAATTTTATTAAATACCTCACTCCCTTAAAATATTTCAATATATAAATAAGGCTTTTCTATGACTTTTTGACCTTTAAACTGAGATCCTTCTGGCAATATAAGTTCTTTCGCGAAGATTTTAACACGAAATGTCGACCGTCAATATAGTGTATTATTGGTCAGAAGTTTATATGTATATTGTTGAAAGATTGGCTGATAAAAATCCTTTATTAATAACGGTAAATATATTACAATGTTTCTTTATAAAATACATTAATACAAAATATTGATACTAATAATTTATTTATTTAGACTTAATTATTTTCGTTCTCGTTCCTCTCTTAACAACCTATCATTACGGGTTCGTGTTGTACCCATTTTATTACGCGTTGTCTATCCTACATATTTTCAGTTTGATTATTTGCTATGATATATTCCAATTATTCAATTGTTGAATCACTAGTGGTTCTAAAATGATAATTCTTGTGTATGGGTTGTTCTTTTGGTATGTATGGTTGGGCGGGATTTTGAATTGGGTCTGGAGGAGAATGAATAGCTTGTATATTAGGAAGATTCTGAATTTCTGCATTAGGGTTATATTGCGAGAGAACACTAGAATTTAAATGTATATTTTGTAAATTGTTGTAATATTTTGGTCAAAAGAATTATTGGAATTAGAAGGCATACTAGATGAATGTTGTGATTCATTAAATTTGAATTTGAAGATTGAGTCGTGAATATATTAGATGGCAATTCATGTTGTTCTCCATCTTTATTACCTCTACCACGACCCCTAGTATTATTATTAGATGTTTTCATATTTTGTTATTTTATAATATCCAATATTTTTTGCTCTTCTGCCCTGTTTTTCGCGGTTTAAAATGTCTTGTTTTAATATAACTCTTCTCCTATTGAATAACAAAATTAAATAATCTGTTCCGTCCTTCAAATGTATATTCTGCGGTCATATTAGATAATTCTGAAATATCTTCAAAAAGAGAATTATCCATTAGATTATCAAATGCTATAATAAGTTGATTTATTACATTCCAAGTAATTTCTTTACGAGATTTTACTGCCCGATCACCTTGATGTGCAACATTATCATCTAAAAATTCAATTAAAAACAGATTAATTCGATCCCTTTCATTTGAACAGCTTTAATCTGATTTTTAAGTTGATCGATATTAAGGATTTCCGGATATATTTTGTTTAATATATTTAACCCCAGGGTTTCTAAAGTCTCGTCAAACAAAGAAATGGTTTTCTCGATTAATATTAATGGAACAAGCATGTTTTAATAATTCTTTGATTCAGGATGTTTTGCTAAATGTGCTAGATTAAAGGCAACTGATGGGGCATAATTAAGTTTACCGACTACAATGCAAATGCAGAAAGTGATTCATGCTGCATTTCAAAATTTCCCATCCGAAATAAAGATACCAAATCTTTTATTAAATTATTGTCTTCATACATTATTTGTTCAATTGTTTTATTATATTTTTTTAAATGAAAATGAAGTGCGATACTCGACAGGTAGATCAATAATCAACTATTGCTTCTAATTTATCTAGAAATTTAGTTCCCAAATAAGCTGCCGCTAAATTAATATACCAAATCCTGAAAAAATTGTAATAAGAACACTACATATGTCCTTACTTGTATGCCATTGACCCAGGATTATTCTAGTGTATGCATGATTTTCAAGATAAAGTATTGTTCTTCGAAATATTGCTTCATCGGAAACAATATCCATATATTTATTATTATCTAAATTAAAATCTTGTAAAAACATATCACATGCTTCAAATATTCCTTCATTTGAAATTGATTTATTTCCAGCTTCTAAAATAACTACATTGGCTGGTATAATTTGCTGATGTATATCGGGTAAATCAAAATCTTGAAAGTATTTGAAAGTATTTTCTAAGTTTGAAAATTGATGATCTTAAGGATATTAACTTTGCCTTACAAATTTATTAAAACAACAAATACATAATTGGATTAAATCGGACTCATTACATGTTTTTTACTTCGACAGCGCGTCGGTGGGACAAAAACCTGATGAAAGTTAGAAATAAATTGTTGAGCTTTAATATTCTCACCCCAAAAGTTTTAAAGTTGAAGTATCAGATAAAGGAAGAATGTGAAGTAAGCAATATCATACGTACCGTTGCATGTATTGTATTTCTTGTTTGATCAAAAATATTTGAATAAGCGAATGTTTTCTCTTTTAAATCTATATATCAATATTCCAAATATCATCACCTATCCAAAGTCTTTCACGCGGATTTGCTGCTTTTATTCTAATATTTTCTTATTTACGTTCATGTCTTTGAGTATGTGCAACTGCATTAAGTGTTGTAAAGTAACTGATGAAGTTGGGCGGTAAAATTTGGGATTCTTAAAAGTGAATCAAGCATAGTTAGAAGTCAAAGATGAAGACCAGGAAAAGCAACATGAAAAATTATAGACATAAGAAAAATTCTAAGAGTACTATTTGGATCGAAAGAAGTTGTAGGTTTGTTATCAACTAGTTTTTTTCTATTAATTTCTTTAAATTTTGACATTTGTCACGTATTAATTTTAATCCCGAAAAAAAATTGGAAAGTAAAAAAGGAGATAATATTATGATGTTCAACTAAAGAATTTGGATTTTCAAATAAATTTTTGTTTTATTAATGTTTTTTCTATTTTTTAACCAAATTCTAAACTTGCTTGTTCATTAAATTCTTTATATTCATAATTAAAAAAAATCTAATTTATTTAATTTAAAAGAAGCTTTAATAATAAAGGGGCTGGGAATGATATTAAGAGGGTTAAATTCTTTAGAAATAGACATATTAGATACATGTTGTGAAGAAGGTAAAAGTTGTAAAAGATTAATTGCTTCACGAGATAATTATATTCGGCTACATAAAGTAGCCAATTAGCTATTAAACGAAGAGAATCTATGACATCATTTTTGTGAGAATTAAGACTAGCTTTTCCTTTTATTCCAGATCTTTGATGAAAATGTCCACCATGTTTTTCATAACAAGAAGAGTGATTTTTTATTAGATAAACTAGGATATAAAATTGGTTGAATTTCTGTTAAAGAAGTACAATGATATAGACCACCACAAGGGACTTGTAAATCACGATCAACTAATGTCCAAGAATGTTGATCACATTGCTCACCACGGGTATAAAAAGTCTTATTGATATTACAAAAAAGACATTTCCTATTGCTAATAAAACCCAAAGAAGAATTCTTAGTTCCTTTTGCATTTTTCACATGTAATTTAGTTTTGATGTGAATAACAAACTCCTGATGAAGCCAAATCATCATTTAACTTACGAACTATTTCACTATCAATTTCCCTAGATACAAAATATTTTTTATACAACGTAAATTTTGTGAACTTCCACAGGAACGAATTCACCATTAAAATTATCTATTAAAACACAAGTAGTAAATTTCAGCCAAGAGTCGAGTGGATTTATCTTCATATAAGTTTACGACAAACGATCATTGGAAATAAAGCGTGGAATCGTCCCAATCTTCACCCCACTAAAAGCTTGCAGCTTGTAAAATATTAACTTACAATCATCACCCAAAATAATTGTTTGAGGCTGGATCTTAGTTGACTTTGTTGGCTCAGAAATTTCAATTAGTTGTATTTCATTAGTAAATCAGTTGCCATAGAAATTACGGATTCATCTAATATATAATCATCTATATTATCAGTAATAGTTGAAAAATAACGGCTGATTGAAAAGCATTTGTATCTAATTGAAAAAAATTAGGATTATTTGTATATCCTTCGCTATTTAAATAAATATTACTATCTTCAAATGTATCCTCCTCAGGTATTACATCGTCCAAATACTTATTAATATCATTTAAATTAACATACTAGTCATTGTCCATACTTTTAAAGTCAAAATCGTTATTCTTCTTCCATAAAACTAACGTCGTCATAATCATGAAGGTCAGGTTTGTTTATGTTGCTTGCAAAATTAAGAATTTGTAAGTTCAAATTTAACAAAAATGACCAACTTTATAAGGAGATTCTTCTAACTTGTTATTAATAAACAACTCTTGGAGAGACGGTGAGAAAAATATTTTTTTACGCATATTGATTGGGTAAAAATTTATAGTTTACATATGACGAATTTTTGAATATTTACTAATAAATGTAAAAAAAAAAAAAGTGATTGACAAGCTGCATATTTGATCCGCGCACATGATCCGGATGATTATTTTCGGTATTAAATTATAAAACTTTTTATTGATCCTTTACGCCACACACCACCTTTCTTTCTTTTACGAAATATTTTTCTAAAAAATTGTTAACATGTCATATCAACAACAAAATAAGGTTTGTAAAGGGTGACATTATACTAGAGAAAGTTTTAATGAAAAAGGAATTATTTTGAAAAAAATATTACAAGATCACATTCAATAAAAAAACAGAAAATCTGACGTATAAATAATTCTAATCATATTGAAAATATTTTAAGTGTGAAATTGGGCGTTATAGTTATATATGGGTTTACATATTAAATCAGAAAAAGGACACTCTTCTTTTGACATAGCATGTTTAATAATATTTCATATTTGTAATGTATAAGAACTAATTAGGTATATTTACAAATAAAATACATGATCTATTATAGCGAAAGTAAGTAAAATGTAGTATCTTAATAGTTTATTATAATAAAATTAAAAGTACATAAAATAACTTTAAAATATTTTTTGCCAATAAAGAAATACATCGTCCGGATCATGTGCGCAGATCATGTGTAACCTGGCAACAAATCCGGCCTTGTTCCGTTTTTCTAGTACGGTAAATATTCACGCAGAGGTTAAGAAACTGGAGAATTGTTTCTATCTTATAAACTTTTTTTTTTTAATGATTTAGAATAAATATAAATAATAAATAAATAAATAAATAGTGCTATAGTTAATAAATTGTGAGATATGACATTTTAAAATATGAACGGATCGGTTCTTATGATAAAAAAAAAAGTAGAAAGATGCATGATTAAAAATATTTTTTAAAAAAAACCCTCCAACTAATTCACGTGCGATAACTTCGAATTCTGCGGATTTACTCCACGAAAACATTAAATTCATGTACTGTATACAGGTCAATATAGATTAAAATACATTAAATAATATAAACACCACTCCCTAGTGTTGATAAAACACTTTAGAATCGTCTTCGCTTATCTATCTTCTTCCTATAGAAATTAAGAGCCGCGAAGTCAAGCATGAGATATGAAAGACGGAACTAATTAATGTGAAATTATTTAAATGATTAATTACGAAGGAAAATAAAAAGTGGAATTAAAAAGAATAAAAGTATGATTGTAAAAAAGAAAATATTCTATGAGCGTGAAAATATTGTACGCACGATAGTATTCTTAATGACCGAATTATAATGGATAGGGCTTTCGGCCAATATTGTTACCAATCTAATAACTACTTAAATAAAATATTATCAATATCGCAGGTGAAACTTTCTGAAAACTTTTTTTTTAATTCCTGTAAAACGACTAATTTAAAGTCAGGTTTTTTTGTTAAAATATATACAGTATATGTATATATATATATATATATTAAATAATAGTATTGCATATAATAACAAATAAAAACATAAAGTATAAACCAATCAGCATATCAACTCCAACGGTTTGGTAGTCCCATCGTTCCATTCTACTAGCCTCAAGTCGGACTAAACTGGACCGTTAGCAACATCATAAATTTTTATCAAGATAGAGAGGAATAAAAAAAGAAAGAAATAACGAAATTAGAGAAATAAAATAAAAGTAATAAAAACTTAATCACGTGTTTAACTATTATTAAATTCATAATAAAATAACCGAGACATTTCAAAATAAAAATGATTATTAAATAAAATATTTCATCATTTCGTTAAATTGGTATCCTTAATTTAATACTTAGTACTTTACACAAAAAAGGAGTTAGTATATTAAGAATTTTGATGCATCATTACTCAGAAAGAAAAGTAGAAAAAACAAACTTCTATAAACATAAGCAAATAATGAATACTACGTACCAATTAAGGATTGTGAAATTGGGAAGATCAAAGTAATAAAAGGACTAAAAAGTTCGTTATTATTTTAGGTATTTTTAATTAAAAGTTCCTCTATATAATATATTAAATCAAAAATCAAACAATAATTAAATATAAGAGAATGTGTAATATATAAATTTGATACAAAAAAAATATTTATTATAGCTAAAATACTATTAAATTACGTAGGATCATATTTTCATAGACCGAAATTCTTATTATAAAGCATAACAATGATAATACATGATTGTTCATAATTGACATAATAAAGTGGAGTAAAAAATATGGCATGGCATAAGCGAAAAATTTTAGAGTCAGCTATTCACTACTATATAGTGGTAAATAATTATTTATCACTAGCCCTTTGTGTTTAACTAACTTAATCCATTATACCATAATCCTAACCTAACCCTAACGGCCTAACCCTAACCCTAACCCTAATACTAACCTCTAAATTTTACTATAGAATCTATATACATCACCATATAGTTACAAATAGGTATTTCCAAAATTTTATAGGAAAATTTTAAAATTTAAATAAAGCTTATAAAATGGTTTAAAAATAGCATAAAATGAAATTCATAGAAACTTAGATAAAGCTTATTTATGATGTTATAATTAATGATTGGTGTAAAACATTCTTTGTGTACAACAGGTGATCGTCCTTTTATCAATGAATGTTACCAATTCGGTATGTTTTTGAATGAAAAATCCCCAATTTTGGTTTAATAGAACGTAACCAAAGAAGTTCTTTCAAAAAAATAAATAAATAAATAAAATGAGGAAAAATATGTATATATAAACCTAAACCCCACTTCTTTTTGACAATATTCTTTTCAATTATCGAAGAATTTTGAAAAATGGTTTTTTTATTTGTGCCAATTACTACCAAGAATACTGTCGACTTCTGATTTATATTGATATTCACTATTATTCTAGATTAGATAATAAATTAATCAAAAATCGCAATTAATTTTTTTTTTTTAAAAAAAGAAAAAAAAAATATTACCTTATAATCTTGTTTTATGTTTTTCCATTTACACGCACATTGTGAAGGTGAAAATTTCTTATTGGTAAGTTGTAATAACGTATTTGATATATCTTCCCAGAGTGGTTTCTTTACATTTCCACGATTTGAAGTCAGTCGCCTTACCTTTACTTTACGTTGTTCCAAAAGGGATAAAAACAATTTTACAATTTCTGGTTCAAACTTTTCTTTTATAATGTAAATTAATATATACATTAATATGGGTGAGTGGAACTCCGATCATAATAAAAAGATACCCACCTTTTTTATAGTCGTTTGCGCGAAAAGTCGATGATCCTCTAATTTCGGCAGGCCGACTAACACTCCCATGAGTCCCATCGGTAGCTTCTAAAATACACAAAGCGTTAAGTAATACTCATTATTAATTACTAAGATATTACTATATTTCTTTTACGAATCTCAGCGGTTTAACAAAGCCAGAATGATTCTCAATCAATTGTTAAGTATTTTGATACCTAGCTGGACATTAGAGTACAAAGTAATATTTCTTCGACGTCCTTCTGCAGAACTTGGTTGGTTTTGTGGGTGAGTTTTAGTGGGATCAGGAGGAAAGGAAACATTCACGCTATGTTCTTCAACTCCACCCAAATTAACGTTGTTTTGATCTTGAACTTGTGAAGTTGTTACAACAGCAGTATTGAGACTAGTAAGAAGAGAGTCTAAATCAAAGTTAAGAAGAGATTTGGCATCCAAATCAAGAAGGGAGCCGAAATCCAAATTAACGTTGTTTTGATCTTGAACTTGTGGAGTGGTTACAATAGGAACATTGGGATCAGGAAGAGAGCTGAAATCAAAATCAGTGAAATCCAAATTAACGTCGTTTTGATCTTGGACTTGTGAAGTTGTTACAAGATCAGTATTGAGACTAGTAAGAAGAGAGTATAAATCAAAATCAGAGAAATCCAAATTAACGTCGTTTTGATCTTGGACTTGTGAAGTGGTTACAAAAGGAGCATTGGGACCGGAAGAGATAATATTCATGTCAAGTGGGTGAATTCCTTCTTCCTCTGCTCTGATACCTTGACTTTGGCCTTGTTGATCATTCATTTTTTAAGAAATGAAACAATGTCGTTATGAAAAAAAAAGAGAAAAGGAAAGTGAAGAAAGAAAATTTTTCACATATAAATACATTATCGAGCGCTAATCTAATCCACGCGCTGGGATACGATTGCTTTACTGTTGCAACTGTGAATTGGATACGATTGACTGCAACTATGGCACAAATCTGGATTGGATACGATTGACTGTGATAACTGGGAAATTAAAGTTTGTTTTCGGATAACTTCTTAAAGTTTCATTTAATTTCAGATAAAAAAAACACTTAAACCACCCTCAGAGACCCTATATTCTTCATTTAGTTATAAAATAATTTTAAAACATTTTGTTTTTTTTATTTAATTTCATAATTTATATTGTAGAACTAATAAAAACAGAGAGAGCATGAAAAGGATCGTCTTCAATTTTAAAGTTGCAATCACAAATATATTTAAATAGTTATTAACACCCTACAATTAATCTAGTGTGATTATGACTTTAACAGTTAACTATCGTTTATCAGATTTAATCTAAATAGTATTAATGATATTAACATAATTACAGGTTACAAAATTTGTATATGGCTTAGAAAGTGAATATTCGTATTCTAAAAATTTGGGATTTTATTTTTAGAAATCATGGGAAGGAATGAATAAAATTAACGACAGTATTAATTCCTATCTTATTGTTATATGTAAGTATGATATAATGTGATTGGATTTCAAATTTTAAAATTATGCGAGAGATTTATTATGACGAATTAAATTTTTGTGAAATGAAAAAATTGGGCGTATTTTTTATGGATTAGATTTCCACATTTTAATTTAGTCTAACCATAATTCCCAATTTGGACGCAAAAACTCTATGTTGTTAGAAAAGGAAATCACTTACCATTTTTATTCGAAAATAAAAAAAAAATGAAGATCGTTTCCCATTTTATAATGAGATACAATCATCAAAAATTTCATTTGAAAAAAAGTAAGCAAATAGTTAATTCTGTTAATTCTGATGCTGAACAATATTAGATAAAGAAATCGTAAGTATGAATATATAGATTTAAAATAGTCTAAGATTTAAATAAGGGTTTTAAAGACATGTAGTATTATTTTTCATATGAATTAAATTATGTATAGAAAACATTCATGTTTCAGGTTTGATCACTTTTTATAAATTTTGATAGTGCAAACCTTAACTTCTTCCAATAATATACTGTACACGAAATTTTTTTTCGCTCTACAAGTTAATATACTGTATATAGATGTTCTTTTTAAAAGCAAATTAATATTTTTGAAAATGCGTAGGTAAACGCGAACCTGTAATAACAGGCGTTATCAAAAAATTTAATAAATTATTAAGAATTATAAAGTTTCCGTATGGACAATAAGTTTTTTAACTATTTCTCAACAATGTTCTAACCAAATTTAACAATAATACACTTTATATTAAAGCTTTTTTACAGGTAACAGAAAATATTAATTTAAGAGTCAAAAAGTTTTATAAAAGCCTTAAATATGATAGGATGTTTAAGGAAACAAAAGAATTTAATAAAATTAGTGTCCTTTGAAGTGCATTAAAAAAAAGTTAATTTATTTAACACAAATTCGAATCGATCCTAGGGATGCAACTTGGAGTTGGCTCTAGAGCCGAACGTCATCTCCAGTTTGAGCTGAACCGAGCAGCTTGAGCGGAGTGAGCAGAGACTGCAGAGTCGACTCTGCGAGTCTGTTAAACATCTTTAATTATTATGGTTTGATTCTATTCCCCCCAGCATCATCATAAATTTATGGTCACGTGATCATACGAAAAAAATAATTTATCCCGGACCTCGAATTTTGATTGGGCAAAAATTGTTATATTTTGTAACATTTTTTTTTTTTTTTTTTTGTTAGTAACACGCATTTCTTTATTATATTTATAATAAGAATTTACATATAAAATTTATACAGAAATACAGAGTTAAAAAATACATATTTCTAAATGCGTTAACAAGAGCAACACTATTATCTATCTAAACTATTATTTAAAGTTCGATCTATAAATTAAAATACTATTTTATCTGTTATTTTTTTCCTGTTTTTAATATTTTCGTTATGTTTTTGTTTTTTCTTTTGCTGATTATTTTGTAATAAATACCGTGCTGAATTTTACGTACAAAATACAATTAAATTTCCAACTAAAAAATGCATAATTTTTTATAATGTATTTATTTCATATTACACTGCTGTTAAAAAAATTTTTATTAACCAGATCATTTGCGCCAAAAATACTTAATCAATACAATTGCAGTTTCTGTATAGTGCATAAAACAAATTTCCGCGCGATCAGTTTCTAATATTTTGTCTAAAAACAAATATGTAATGATAAATTGAGAAAATTTTATAATAATGAAATAAATAATGATTAAATATTATTTTATACCTTTATTTTGTAATATTTCAAAAATCAAGCAACTTTTTTGGTAGAGGATTCTGATCAAGTACATCCAAATTACTTGAAGTAATTCATTTTGTATCTCCATCAACTCTTATCTCATACTCAAATCCATCAATTTCTCTTTTAAGTTGGTTTAAATTCTTCTGCTTCAAAAAAGTGTTGTTTTTGTTTACAATTAACTGATATATAAAATTATAAATATCATTATAAATCCATCATGTTTATATTCTTACTTAAAAATTGAACGAATTGTTGGTACATTACAACCTGCTTGATGATAAAATATGATTCGTACTTTAATTTCTTGGGGAATTATTCTTTCATTACTAAGAAATATTTTGTATTCAGGAGCAACCATTTCATGATTATGTTACCAATTTCATGGCTAAAGTCCACTATCATTATCAAGTGAAGCTCTGATAAAAATGGACAATTACATCTTTAGGATTTACGATCTCTTGAATTGACTTTATCCTCCTTACTTGCGCGTGAACATAAGCATAAGATTGTTCTTCTAATATATATTTTTCTTTGTCACGACCTACTTTGCTCAACCGCATCTAAAAATTGCAATATGACGCGTAATTTTGAACTCTTGCTACAAATTCTTCATGGATTTTAAGCGTTGGTTGAACTTCATGTATACCTATCTAAATATATCTGACGGAAATTTAATCAGGAGATTGTTGTGACGCAACATTTTTTTTTGATAATTTAATAAAAATGTTGTGAAACGTTTTTATTAATTAATTTATTTAAAAAAAAACGTTGCGCAATGTTTTCTTTTTGATAATTTACTCAGGTTCGGCAGTATTCATAGTTACTAAAAAAAATATATTAAAGAACGAGTTTTATACAATTAATTTTACTACTTATATTCATATTTTCTTATGTCTAAATAGTTGTAGTTATAATACTTACATTTTAATACGTAGTGGCTAAGTGAAAATTGGCCAATCAAATTTTGATGTGCTGAAGACAGTCATGTGATATTACGTTCTGCAATTGCGTGAGCGTTTTACTAAAAAAATTTACTAATTGAATGTGTTTCTTTAGGAGAATTGAATGTATCTTTAAATTGTATATTATTATAACACACCACTGGTACTCAACACCACACCATAGTATGTGATTTCACAAAACTATAGCATAAACAACTGAAGTTGTACTAATTAAAATTACTTGGCACCCTTGAAAATGGTCAGAAAAAATCAAAAAACTTATAAAATATAAGTTAAGTATATGCTGCAGCATTTAAGTACTTTGATGTGAAATATAATTATTAAATTAATAGCATCAGCTCAGCTAGACTATTAGTAATATAGAATATATCTTTACTGAGTCCGGTCCGATGATCTCCAAGTCATATCAATTTTTATTTAGCACAGTCATGTGAATTTGAGTCCGGATCATCGGACCATGCAGTCGCTTAGAATAATTACTTGGGTCCGATTGATTGCTGTATAAGCTTGATCTAACACGATTTTTTTTTATTGCTATTTGCTTTATAATGAGAGTTACTAAAAAAAAAAATATTTTTTTTTTATTAATTTAATGAGATAATGGTTGTAGTATACATATTAAATCATACGACAAACACTAAATTTATTTGTTACAAAGAAAATTATAGACAATAAAACATGAAATATGAAAATGACTATTTATTTATATTCAATGTCTTTTCGGAGATACTGCATGGTAAAAAAAAGATCATCCGATAATGCAACAATCTCAGCCTCACTTCTTTTAACAAACAATCATTTTATTTTTTTTCCAAAGATCATACATACTCTTTCGGACAATAGTTTTTTTATCTATAAGTCGGCGTATCGCTACTTCTGAATCGAAATTTGAAATTTAATAACGCTGGTTAGTTTTGGTCAATATTAATATTTTTTTCCATAAATATGCACTCAAATTATTATTACGCTTGTTTTAAAGTTACAATAAATTAATATGCAAGCATTCCATTAACAATACTACTTACATGAGCTATTTTTAAATTTTTGTTATGAGTTTATTGTATAAAGAATATTTAAATTTACAACTAATTAAATATAAGAAATGTAGATCGGTCACGTCCGATGGTAGCGAAGTCCGATCAAAGTTTAATTCGGTCTGCATCAAAATTCACATGACTATGCTAAAAATTAACATTACCGGACTCAGAAAGATCATCGGACCGAAACCATAACCTCTGAAACATGAATATTTTCTATACATAATTTAATTCAGAGAAGACCCATATGAAAAAATAATAATACATGTCTTTAAAACCCTTATTTAAATCTCAGACTATTTTAAATCTATATACTTAACAATTTCTTTATCTAGTATTGTTCAGCATCAGAACTTACTACTTGCTTACTTTTTACTAAGCTCTTTTCAAATGAAATACGGATAAATTTTTTACAAAAAGAGAAAAAGATATGTCATGGAAAGTAATTTTTTTATTTGAATTTTTTTTTATAAAAATTGAGACGAACTTTTTTTCTTACAAAAAGAAAAAAGATAAATCAAAATAGGAAACGATTTTCATTTTTTTTTATTTTTGAATTTTTCGAGTATTTATTACGAAAGATAAATTAAAAATGGGTAAGTGATTTCCTCTTCTCTAACAAAAAAAATAATTAAAGATTAGTTTCACAATACATACGTCCAAATTAGGAATTATGGTTAGATTAAATTAAAATGTGGAAATCTAATCCATAAAAATACGCCCAATTTTCATTTAAAGATATGATTGTCAAAAAAATAATAAAAATCTGTGATAATTTACGTGTTTTTTAAATTTTTGAAATCCAATCACATGATGTCATACTTGCATCTATAACAATAAGATAGGAATTGATCAGGCAATAGTTCCAATTAACTGTCGTTAATTTTATTCCTTCATGATTTCTAAAAATAAAATCAAATCCCAAATTTTTAGAATACAAATGTTCAGATTTATTGCAATAAAAGCTTCCGCAAAGGGAAATATGACAAATAAATATGTGCCCTTGAACTGCATCAATTTTACTTTCTAAGTCATATACAGATTTTGTAACCTGTAATTATATTAATATCATTAATACAATTTAGTCTAAATCTGATAGACGATAGTTAACTGTTAAAGTCACAATAACGCTAGATTAATTGTAGGGTGTTAATAACTATTTAAATATATTTGTGATTGCAACTTTAAAATTGAAGACGATCCTTTTCATGCTCTCTCTGTTTTTATTAGTTTCGCATTCATTCTACAATATAAATTATGAATTTAGATAAAAAAAAAACAAAATGTTCTAGAATTATTTTCATAACTAAATGAGAAATAGAGTCCCTGAGGGTGGTTTAAGTTTTTTTTATCTGAAACTTTAAGAAGTTATCCAAAACTTAAAACTTTAATTTGTGTCACAGTTGCCACAGCTAATCGTATCCAATCCAAATTTGCAGTTAATCATATCCAATTCACAGTTGCCACAGTCAATCGTATTCCAGCGCGTGGATTAGATTAGTGCTTGACAACTGAATGTATTTATACGTTCTTTCTTCACCTTCCTTTTCCCATTTTTTTCGTAACAACATTGTTTCATTTCTTAAAAAAATGAATGGTCAACAAAGCCAAAGTCGGGATAACAGAGCAGGAGAAAAAGGAATTCACCCACCTAACAAAAATATAACCACTACACTAGCCCAAGGTCTTCTTGATTTGGATCCCAAATCTCTTCTTAATATTGATTTAGACTCCATTTTTAATCCCAATGTAACCACTCTACAAGCCCAAGGTAAAAACGACGATTTGGATTTCGAATCTTATCCTATTAACCCTCTTGGAGTTGAAGAAACGTATAACTCTCCTTCTGGTTCCAATGCTATTTTTGAAGCTCAATTAAACGGCTCCGAAGTTGGATACCGGATCCCAAGAGGTAAGTTTCGAAAAGAATATTTGAAACTTTCTTTAACGTTTTTTTCTTTTTTTTTTAAGGAAATTGGCTCCCAAGTTGGACACAAATCCAAAGTGGAAACACCCTTTATTCGAGTGAAACTGAATATGGCACGAATCTCGCCTTTCCTACTAAGTTCAATGCCCAATTAAACAATCAAAACCGGAATGGCATGAATTTTTCCTCGCCTTATGGTCTCATTGAAGCTCAGCAAAGTCTGTCTAATCAACCTTTTCAACAACAAAGTCAAAATGATGCTCAACCAATTGTAGAGTATTCTAGTACCTGGTTGGACGATAGTGTACAAAGTAATATTTCTTCCTGCAGATTCGCAAATAGAATATAGTAATATCTTTAGTTAGTAATTAATAATGAATATTACTTAACGCTTTGTGTATTTTAGAAGCTACTGATGGGACTCATGGGAGTGTTAGTCGGCCTGCCGAAATTAGAGGATCATCGACTTTTCGCGCAAACGACTATAAAAAAGGTGGGTATCTTTTTATTATGATCGGAGTTCCACTCACCCATATTAATGTATATATTAATTTACATTATAAAAGAAAAGTTTGAACCAGAAATTGCAAAATTGTTTTTATCCCTTTTGGAACAACGTAAAGTAAAGGTAAGGCGACTGACTTCAAATCGTGGAAATGTAAAAAAACCACTCTGGGAAGATATATCAAATACGTTATTACAACTTACCAATAAGAAATTTTCACCTTCACAATGTGCGTGTAAATGGAAAAACATAAAACAAGATTATAAGGTAATATTTTTTTTTTCTTTTTTTAAAAAAAAAAAATTAATTGCGATTTTTGATTAATTTATTATCTAATCTAGAATAATAGTGAATATCAATATAAATCAGAAGTCGACAGTATTCTTGGTAGTAATTGGCACAAATAAAAAAACCATTTTTCAAAATTCTTCGATAATTGAAAAGAATATTGTCAAAAAGAAGTGGGGTTTAGGTTTATATATACATATTTTTCCTCATTTTATTTATTTATTTATTTTTTTTGAAAGAACTTTCTTGGTTACGTTCTATTAAACCAAAATTGGGGATTTTTCATTCAAAAACATACCGAATTGGTAACATTCATTGATAAAAGGACGATCACCTGTTGTACACAAAGAATGTTTTACACCAATCAATCCAATCATTAATTATAACATCATAAATAAGCTTTATCTAAGTTTCTATGAATTTTATTTTATGCTATTTTTAAACCATTTTATAAGCTTTATTTAAATTTTAAAATTTTCCTATAAAATTTTGGAAATACCTATTTGTAACTATATAGTGATGTATATAGATTCTATAGTAAAATTTAGAGGGTTAGTATTAGGGTTAGGGTTAGGATTAGGGTTAGGTTAGGATTATGTTATAATGAATTAGGTTAGTTAAACAGTGATAAATAATTATTTACCACTATATAGTAGTGAATAGCTGAACTCTAAAATTTTTCGCTTATGCCATATTTTTTACTCCACTTTATTATGTCAATTATGAACAATCATGTATTATCATTGTTATGCTTTATAATAAGAATTTCGGTCTATGAAAATATGATCCTACGTAATTTAATAGTATTTTAGCTATAATAAATATTTTTTTTATTTCAAATTTATATATTACACATTCTCTTATATTTAATTATTGTTTGATTTTTGATTTAATATATTATACTATAGAGGAACTTTTAATTAAAAATACCTAAAATAATATCGGACTTTTTAGTCCTTTTATTACTTTGATCCTCCCAATTTCACAATCCTTAATTGGTACGTAGTTAGTATTCATTATTTGCTTATGTTTATAGAAGTTTGTTTTTTCTACTTTTCTTTCTGAGTAATGATGCATCAAAATTCTTAATATACTAACTCCTTTTTTGTGTAAAGTACTAAGTATCAAATTAAGGATACCAATTTAACGAAATGAAATATCAATTTGAAATATTTTATTTATAAACATTTTTATTTTGAAATGTCTCGGTTATTTTATTACGAATTTCATAATAGTTAAACACGTGATTAAGAATTTATTTCTTTTATTTTATTTCGCTAATTTCGTTATTCCTTTCTTTTTTTATTCCTCTCTATATGATAAATATTTTTGGTGTTGTTAACGGGCCAGTTTAGTCCGACTTGAGGCCAGTAGAACGGAACGATGGGACTACCAAACCGTTGGAGTTGATATGCTGATTGTTTATACTTTATAGTATATTTAGATATTACGTCTGTTAATTTATTTGTTATTATATGCAATACTATTATTTCAATATATATATATATATATTTTTTAACAAAAAAACCCGACTTCAAATTAGTCGTTTAACGGAATTAAAAAAAAAAGTTTTAAGAAAGTTTCACCTGTTTTTGATTCGATATTAATACATATTTATTTAAATAGTTATTAAAATATTGTAATTCGGTCATTAGGAATAATATCGTGCGTACAATATTTCACGCTCATAGGAGTATTTTTTTTTTTTTCAACCATACCTTTTTTTCTTTTTAATTTTTTTAATTCCACTTTTCATTTTTCTTCGTAATTAATCATTTAAATAATTCAGTTCTTCTCATATCTCATGCTTGACTTCGCGGCTCTGATGGTTCTAAAGTGGTTTTGTCAACACTAGGGAGTGTGTTTATATTATATTTTATGTTTAATCTATATTGACCTATATACAGTACTAGAGGTGCAAACTTTACCGTCATAACTGCCGTAACAAAGTTACGTCAATAACGTCACTGCAGATGTTCGCATAGAAATTTTATAATAATTTATATAATATCGAGCTACGTGACGCAGTCTACGTCACGAGTTACAACCTTTCACTGACTTCATGAGTGAAGTAGCTAAAAAAGGAAAAAGTCTGCACCCCTATATATTTATTGTAGATAATCAAATTTTCTAATGCGTCAAGGCGTGATAAAGGTGAGAAGATTCATGGCCAAGTAATAATTCTCGTTTGCTAACTTTGGAAACTTCTAATCAAATACTTTACTGTCATTACATTATGTAAGAGGAAATACACTTCCGGTTTGCAATTAATGAACATTTATATGATTTGATGTACGATAAGCTTAATCGAAATTGTTCAACGCCAAATTTATCAATTAACAACTGAAGCTCGCTTGTAAATTGTAATTCATATGGAAATATTCCAACGATTTTAAATTTTTTAAATTTATAGGTTCCAAGATCTTTGTTATTAGATTATTAATTTCAAGAAATCTGGATTGTTATCAAAATGTTTTTATTTTTTTTGATATGATATTTATTCACCAAATAAGTTTGTTGAAAAGATGGTCTATTCTTGGCCAAAAGTTCATATATTAATTAATTTAATATCCATATGATGATGTTTAACTGCAATTTCTTATTTTAATATTTCAAGTTAAAGGAAACTACAACGAATGAATTAAAATATTTAATAAATTTTTTGACATCAGGAGTTTTTGCCGCTTAATATTTGCCTTAATATTTAGTGGATTAAGCTCGTATCTTAATTTGCAAATGAATACGAAGTGATTTATCGATATTAACAACTCAAGTTATAGCGATAAATTGAAATTGATCGAACGATGATTTTTGCATGTGATTAAATAAAATATATTTTAATTCTTTTAATATTAAATAAGATAGTATATATTGCTGATTTTTTCAGAGTTTTGCGTATTTTGGAGATCACATTCATTCATTTATTTACGTGTCACAATTAAATGAATAGTTTACATATTAACAATATAAAAATGTTTGTTGACTTATGATGTGATCACATTAAGTCACAAAAATAAAAATAATAAAAATGAAAACAAATCATGTTTTAGTTATTTTCAGTCGCTTAAGTTTTTTATAAACATAAAAATTTCGTTCCGAAATAGTTGTAAGCAACCGACTCTAATATCTGCCACCCGTTACAGAGACAATTTGGATATTTCCGTCAAAATTCTGACATTCAGGTTCAAAGATACCATTTTGCATTAGATTTACGCTCTTTCAATAGAATATTCTTTTACGGGGGAAATTTTGTTTTATTGAATCGACGTAATTATAAATAGCTGCTTGAGACAGTGCTAAAATTAGTTTCTGACTTGGCATTTAACTTTAACTAAACGTAACTGTATGTGTTTATACAGTTAAATGAATGTGTAACTAGAGGTTGAAACCGGATTTAAAAAATAAATCCGGTTTAATTTTTACTTATAATATATCCGCTTTCCTTCGAATCCTTCGGATTATATCACGTTTTATTCGGTTTTCCTTCGGTTATCCAGATATGATAAATCCGGTTTCCTTCGTTCCATCCGGATTAATTATATACGGTATTCGGATTTAAATCCGAATATCGAATACCGGATCTAACCTCTAGCTTGAATTTTGTTAAAAAATAATTGTACATTTTCATTAAAAAAAAAAAATTTAAATTGCACATTTATCAAAATAAGAGATGTTTGGGAACGATACAATATTGGAACCAGGTTTTGTTTCAAACCGGTTATTGGAACCGGTTCTATCTCCATCCCTAATCTAACCATATAAAGCAACACGTCTAAAAGTATTCTTGACCATTAAGTATTGAACAAAAAATTTTTATGGCAATCAGTCATCAGTTAAGAATGCATTACTTACATATTCACTTTTACTTTACAGTTGCTTTTTTCTTTTTTCCATTTTTTTTTTTAAAAAAAAAAAATTCTCTGATATAAACAAATACTATAATCTGACAAGCAATCCTGTATGTATACTGAAAATAAAAGTTCTTTTATATTTATATTCAGTTACAAGTTAAGAAACACTAACACGTATACCGATATAGGACCGGAATCAACAGTGATAGGAACGATCGGTACTGTAAGACTTAATTTGTACCACTATACAGTTAGTTGTACCGCTAACTCTTTAAGGCGCCTCAAGAGGTAGACGAACGTCCAAATCTAAAAAAAAAATGCAAAAAAATATAAAAAAAACTTTTTATAGGACTGATATATAAATTATAGGACTCTGGTCTTATAGGATCGACCGGTCGTTCCAGTCCTGGACTGCAGGATGAACCAGACCAGACTATTAACATCCCTACCGTATAATTAATTTTACCGCATCATAAAACTTAAAAATACTATACTAAAAGACAATTATACTAAATCTTTTCATAATAATTCATTTGCTCAGTTAAATATAATATGTATTGACTTAAAATATTGCTTCAAGATAATCTTTTTGACCAACAGTAATGCCAATCTCTTGTTCCGTATTTTAACTTCAAGAAAATTTTTACTCAATTATTTGTTAACTAAAAGAGAGGAAACAATTTGACATAACACCTGATAAAATTGGCCATTAAATTCTTGTCGATAAAAGATATATTTGTCTTTTTTAGATTTCATGTTATTTTCTTTATTTCTTTAACGGTATCATAAAATATTTCATTTCATTTAATATGATAATGATAAAACCATTCGGTGGTCGATAAAAAAAAGAGAAAGAAGATTTACGGAATAAATTTTGGTAAAAGAGGGGTATGTTGAGACAAGGCGTACTACCACTACTACGCCACATCCGTTTAGGCTATTGGCAAAACTTGGCGAATTAATTGTAGAACTCATTTATATAATTTTCAGTTCAATTAGAACTAGTACTAAGGTTCCAAGAGAAAAGATAATAATAAACTATATATTAATGACGGAGAAAGTAGCGTGTGGAAGAATAAATGTACAATATGATAAAATATATATTTTAACAAAATAATAGATCCAATAAAGTGAAATACTATATTTTTATATTTTTTGAATAACAACTAAAAAGGTTTGATCAAAATCAAATATTTGTTTATTTTATTAAAATATTTTATTTTGGAGAAAAAAATATTAAAATTTGGACTTTTTCATAAGCGTATTTCGTTGACAAAACAAGAAACGGTGTTATTTAGTTTTTGAAATAAAATACGTACTTAACGTACTTAGCCGGTCGACTAAGTTTATATTATAAGTAAAATTTGTAAATTCTGCAAATCTTGGTATCACGAACTTTTAGTGACTATTTAATCGAAACCATGTCAGCAAATTATAAAGTTCTCCATTTTTTCGTGTTATATTAATTTTTTATTTTAATTAATTATTCATATATTAATTTATTTCAATAATTATTTTAGTGTAATTTT